TTTTCTTGATACCAATCTACCGTGTTATAGGAGGGTTACCTGTACATACATACATATGTATAAATAAACTATTGAAGAACAATTAGGCATTTTGTTTTCACAAGCGAGTTATTTTTTACATACCTTAAATTTAATTTCATTAATATAAAATATAATAATGTATTTGCTTTATTTAATCAGTTTTATTTTATTTCATTAGGATTAAATTATTATATTTTCTATTTAATATTAGAATTTAATATTGGCATATATAATAAAAATAATTTTTTATATATTAATTAAATTTTTCAATTTTTTTTGGGTAGGTTAATTATGCTATAAGATTTATCTCTACTCTTAAATGCACTCAAAGTCAATTACTACTACGTTCGAAAAACATAACCTCTAATTGTAAGTAAAACATAATTTATATCATTACCAGAAATAATTTGAAACGTTTGCGGCACGTCAGTCAACTGTGGCTGACACTAAACTTTATTTTTAGGCCACGTTGGACACTGATGACTGATACGTTTAACTGTCTTTTCAATACAAAGTAATACCTTTGGCCTGACGAAATACTCCCTAAGTATGTATATGCATTGTAATTAGTTTACCAAAACTTTGAGATCAATTAAGCAATATTTTTGTTTTATTTTCATCAACTATTTGATTTTAATTTTTTTTATTCATAATTATTATATGCAGGTAACCCTTCTACGACGCGACATTCTATAACAAGGTTTCCTTTCAAAAAATCTTTATACAATTAAGCAGCATTAAAACAAAAGTGTCCTACGCTACTGCAAGGCAGACTGCGTTGAGCAACGGTGTTTTAAGGAATAACTTTTCATCTTTAAGACATTAAGTTTCAGTTCTAAGCCATGTCAGATAAAGATAAAAAAATAGTTGCAAAGAGGAAGAGGACTTCTATTACTTTAAAAGTCAAGATACAAATCTTGGATCGTCATGAGAAAGGAGAAAAAGTATCTGACATTGCAAAAAGCCTGAATATGAGTCAACGAGCAGTCTATTATATTATCAAAAGAAAAAAAGCATTAAGAAGTGCAGTTTCTGCAGGAACTTCGATAACCGCAACTGATATAGTTGCCAGGCAGCCGCCAATAATTAAGAATATGGAAAAGGAACTAAAAGCTTATATTGATGATTGCTTTAGAAAAGGAATTTTAATGGATAATAATACCATTAAACAAAAAGCAATCAAGATTTACAAAAGTCTTCAAGAAAAGGGAGAACCCTCTGGCAGCAAAGCTTTTGTGGCAAGTAATGGTTGGCTCCACAGATTCAAAAAGCGGTATGCATTTGATACCAGAAAAGKTAAAGGAGAATCTGTCGACTGATCATAAAGCCGCCAGAACGTATCCAGAAAATATTGAAAAGATTATAGAAGAGGAAGTATTCACAGAAGATCAGGTTTTCCATACCAAAGAAAATAGACTTTGGTGGAAAAAAATGCTCAATAGTAACTTTATATCCAAAGAATCTTAAGGTGAAATAGAAAACGTGTGTGAATCATCACAAAACGAAATTGGTGACACATTTGAACTTGGTGATTGAATCGAAAGTACAGATTTTATGAATATAGATCTTGAAAACGATCAATTGGAATTAGTGGAAGAAGTTGACAAAGCAAATTTGATGGAAATAGCATCCAAAGACTTAAATCAAATCGATCCTGGTGGCTCTAGCAATGATGAAGATTGTGCAGTGAATAAGTAAACATTAAAACAATTAGAAGAAGGCCGAAGCTTAGCTGAAAAAATCGAGACATTTTTCTTGAATGCAGGTTATTGCGCAGAAAGAAGCAGAATATTTAAAAGTGAGCTGCAAAATTGTCTAGCTTTATACCGAGAAATTTACAATGACCTGGTAAAAAAAATCAGGCAAAGTAAAATTAGATTTCGTAAGGAGGGAAAAAGGTGCAGAAACTTGAAATGGAGGAAAACGTCCTGTATGTGAAGGCGATATTATTTTATCGAAAAAAGACGTTCTGGTTTGATAAATCTCAGCAGTGACGACGAAGAAATTTGTTAAATTAAAGATGCATTCAATTAAAATAAAATTTTTAATCCTTAAACGGGGCTGCGTATGGAATCGTCTAGGATCAAACCACTATTTAAGCCAACACACACCACTGAAACCCTATCATTTATTGTGAGTTACAAGCTTTGAAACATGCCATAGAGATAGTAGCCAACAACCACAAAAAGAAAAAAAAAAGAAAAAAAAAGAAAAAAGAATAAAAATTGAAAGAAAAAAATTAATTTTTAAATATCAATTATTTCGAATGATGCCTTATTATTATTCATTTTATAAACATTTTTAAACATTTTATTTTGTTTTTTGTTTCTATACTTTTTCTAACTTTCATCCATTTTTTTTATAATCGTTTTATACTCGTCCTAAAAGTTTTTTCTTTCCTTTTTTTCTCCTCGTAGCTAAAAAACTCAAAATTCAAAATTAAGGTTATTTTTCTTTTAAACTATATATTCACTTCTTTTCCTTTTTTTTTTTTTATTTGTTAAGAATATACATTGTATATTGTACATATCTGGGACCGTGGATGTTCCACACACACATGTACGACTCCCCACCTAGTATGTATGAGGGTGTCGTACGAGAGAAAGACGCGCGACGATGTGGTGGCGCTGTAGGAGTTCCGCTATTGTTTTTGTTGCACGCACGCTTCGTTAGTTTTGAATATAATAAGTGAAGTAATAAAATAACCGGTACATATAATGGCTAGCTTTAATATAAATTCCCTCCTGTTTTCCCTAACATGGTAGCAGAGCGTGGTTGCTAAAAGTTTTGTGGAAGAATTGCGATGAAGCTGTGATGTGAATGGATTAAGATTCCGGACTGTAAAACACGTGGTCGTATGGAAGAAACCGATAAGCCGGTAGTCAAGAAAGAAACCAAGCCTGTGCGTAAAA